ACCCTGTTGCATCTTCAAAGTGATTGTATTATAATTGAGCAGGATGAAACAGATTGGGGACTATAGGGAGTTTGATACAGACAGACAAACCCCAACTAGCTCCAGAGAAGTGATGTGGATCATCCACGGGCAGCAAGAGGTGACCCAAATCAATTATTCAGCGTTCAATTCAGTAAATATTTATTTAAAGCCTATTAAATCATAGTACCATTCTGGAAACTGGGGGTAAAGCAAGTAATCAAAGTATCTAACTTTATACAGCTTACATTTCAGTTAAGGGAGTCAGGAATAGACTAATATACAAGACATTAGTTGGTGATAAATGCTTTAGAGAAAAATAAGTCCAAGTAAAGCTGATAGGGAGTGCCAGGAAGTAGCAAAGAACTGGTTCATTTATGATAGGAAAGTTTTAGTAATAAGGTCATATTTTTAGAGTCCTGTGTTAGTCAGCTTTTCAATGCTGTTACCAAAACACCTGACACAAGCAACTTACAGAAGGAATGATTTATTTTGGCTCACAGTTTCGGAGGTTTTAGCCAATGGTCAGCTGGCTCCATCACTTTGGGTCTACATTAAGGTAGAAGGGCATGGTAAAGGAAAAGTGCTCATCTCATTGCAACTGGAAAGGAGGGAAGAAAGGAATGGGCCAGGGAGCAGATACACCTTTCCAGATCATGTCCCCAGCAACCTACTTCCTCCAAATAGGCCCTACGTCCTACAGTTTCCGCTGCCTTCCAATAATCCCTTCAAATTATTGATCAAATTATTGATCAATTCAATTATTTATCAATGATTATTCCACCAATGAGGTTAGAATCCTAATGGTCCAGTCATCGCCCAAAAGTCCCACCTCTGAACCTTGCTGCATTGGACATGCTTTCAAGTATATGAATTTGGGGGAGACATTTCAGATCCAATTAATAACAACTCCTGAAGAAAGTCAAGGAGCTAGCAATAATTTAAGGGGCAAGTATTTCAGTTAGAAGGAAAAGTACAAAGATCATTAAACACTAAGGCACTTGGCAATTCTGAAAAATAACGGAGAGGGTAATGAGCTCAGAGTGGAATGGCCAAATGGGAGGGTACTAAGAGATAAAGTTAGAGGTGTCTTAGTGAGGGGAGGGCTGAATATGTAGAACTTAGAGGCTATTGTACACTTTGAAAATCTTTTCATTTAGCTCTTTTCCTTTGTTAGTGGATAGCCATTGATGGACTGTGACCAGAGGATATTTGGCAGAGCAGTTCGAGAAAACTGTCCTGGCAGTAGTCATTCCATCTCAGCAGCAGGAGGGAGTCCAGATGCAAAGTTGGATTCTTTTTCCTGTCTGCAAGTACCAATGAATGAGTTACTAGATTTGTGTTCCTTGTCTCAATTAAGAGCCTTATCCGTGTAATACTAGTCAGAACTTAAGGTTTTTTACAGTCTCAACTCACATCCCTATAGCAAGTGAAACACTAAATTCAATGAACTTTATCACCTAAATATTTTTTCAAATATGTTCTCTCTTCATCCTCACTGTCTCTGAATCATTTATGTACTTACCATTTCTTCTCTGAGCTATAGAATAGCCTATTTCTTTTTTAAAATTAATTAATTTATCCTAATTAGGTATATATAACAACAGAATGCATTTTGATTCATTGTACACAACTGCAGCATAACTTTTCATTTCTCTGATTTTACACAATGTAGTGTCTCATGATATGTGCAGTCACACATGTACCTAGGGTAGCAATGTCCATTTCATTCCACTATCTTTCCTGCCGTTGCCATGCCCATGTACCCTCCTCCTCTCTCCCTCCCCTTTGCCCAATCACAGTTCCTCCATTTTTCCCATCCACCTCACCCACGTCATAGGTCAGCATCCCCTTATCAGAGAGAACATTCAGCCTTAGGTTTTGGGGGGATTGGCTTACTTCTCTTAGCATGATATTCTCCAACTCCACCCACATACCTGCAAATGCCATAATTTTATTCTCTTTTAATCCTGAGTAATATTCCATTGTGTATATATGCCATGATTTCTTTATCTATTCATATATTGAAGGGCATCTAGGTTGGTTCCACAGTTTAGCTATTGTAAATTGAGTTGCTATAACATTAATGTAGCTGCATTTCTATAACATGCTGACTTTAAGTCCTTTGGGTACAAACCAAGGAGGGGATAGCTGAGTCAAATGGTGATTCCGTTCCAAGTTTTCTAAGGAATTTCCATACTCCTTTCCAGTGTGGTTTCACCAATTTGCAGTGTGTGAGTGTGCGTTTTCCCTCACATCCTCACCAACACTTATTGTTGCTCTTGATAATTGCCATTCTGATTGGAGTGAGATGAAATCGCAGAGTAGTTTTGATTTGCATTTACTAGAGATGTTGAACATTTTTTCATATATTTTGTTGATCACTTGTATATCTTCTGAGAAGTGTCTGTTAAGTTCCTTAGCCCATTTATTGATTGGGTTATTTGGGTTTTTGGTATTAAGTTTTTTGAGTTCTCTATATATCCTGAAGATTAGTGCTTATCTGGCATGCGTGTGTCAAAAATTTGCTCCCAAAATGTAGGCTTTCTCTTCACCTCATTGATTGTTTCTTTTGCTGAGGATAAACTTTTTAGTTTGAATTCTTGATTTTATTTCTTGCACTTTAGGAGGCTTATTAAGGAAATTAGGGACAAATACAATGTGATGGAGATTGGGCCTACTTTTTCTTCAATTAGGCACAGGGTCTATGGTCTAATTCCTAGGTCCTTGATCCACTTTGAGTTGAGTTTTGTGCATGGTGAGAGATAGGGGTTTAGTTTCATTTTGCTACATAGGGCTTTTTTATTTTTCTAGCACCATTTGTTGAAGAGGCTATCTTTTCTCTAATCGATGTTTTTGGCATCTTTGTCTATTATGAGATAACTGTATTTATGTGGGGTTTTTCTCTGTGTCTTCTAGAATAGTCTTTCTTATTTCCTAGACTTTTGTTCAGTTATATATAATTCACCCTATCCATGCTTTTAAAATTATAGGTCACAATCTATTAATTTACCATGAAGGTATCATAACTAGTTTTTGGAAATGAAATAACCATTATCACAACATTTAGTCAGCACTATATTGGAGGTTCTAGCCAGTGTGAGAAGGGCAAGAAAAAGAAATAAAACATACAAAAACTTTGGAAGGAAAGAAGTACATTCATCATTATATTCAGGAAACAATATTGAATATGTAGAAAATCCCAAAAAAATTCACGAATTATTAACATTAATAAGTAATTTTGCAAAGCTATTGAATTTAAAGTCCACAGAAAGTTAACAAGTGAAATTTTAAAGCAATATCATTTACATTAGCAAGAAAATATTAAAAACAGATAAATCTAATTAAAGATGTAAAAGACTTCCCTGAAAACTTAAAAACTTTCCTGAGAGAAACTTTTAAAGATCTAAATAAATAGAGATATGCAGATTACATTTGTGGGTTAAAATATTTATAACTATTGAGGTTAGCTCTCCCAAATGTATTCTGAAGATTCAAGGTAATTCCAACCTCAAAACCCCAATAGGGTTTTTATGGAAACAGATTCTCATTCTAAAATTTGTTTAAAAATGTAAAACCCTATAATAACAAAGATAATCTTAAAGAACACAAACTTGGAGGACTTAAACTACATGATTTTAAGAACTCAAGGACCTGGGGATGAAGCTCAGTGGTGTGCTTGCCTAACATGCTTTGAGTTCTAACGATACTTTGAGTTCTATCCCTATCACTGTCAAAAAGAAAAAAGAAAAAGATTTTAAACCAATAAAGCAATAGTAATGAAGAGAATGTGGTATTGATGAAAAGATAAATAGAACAAATAAACTAGTAATTACTTCATAGGAGAATGCAGGTGTGTCTAGTATTAATAAGGAAGGGGAAGACAGTATTGAAGTGTTGGGCATGTTTTATGTCTTGATCCAGAGGTAAATGTATACATTACTGTTTGCATATATAACTTTATAACATGAGCTCTTTAAACTGAACTCTTAAAATCTGGCATAAGATGTTGTGTTCCGCCTCAAAAGAGTTTTTTTTTAATAGGGTGAAATAGAAAACAGAGTGAATTATACATTGCAGGGGCAAATATTATACATTTGTAGATGTGCTTGTATGTCTGTACAGGATCCCCATGTAAAATTACCTTCTTACTAAGAGTCAGTCACTATTAAATGAGCTTAAAACAACACTGCTTTATATAGTTGCCAGAATGAACCTTCTAAAATACGATCTGATTATGTCACTCACCTACTTAGAATCTTTAACTGAGTTCTTTGATACATAATGCTTTGTGCAATCTAGCTCCTGTCTGTATTCCCACTCTTATCTCTCACTTTGCTTTAATGGTTCTCAGTATGCACTATACTTTCCACGGCTTCAGTCTTCATACTCTATATTTTTAACCTGAATTTGATCTCTTCCTCCCCATCCCTATCCTTCTTTACCAATCTTATTCCTGCCTGCTCTTCAAGTCTTATCTATAACATTACTACTCTGAAAGCTTTCCTGCATCTCAGCCACCACCATAATTCCTCTGCAAATTGAACTTAGCCATCCTTCCTTTGTAAATGTAGCATCTTCATGAGACCTCTCATTTCCCCATGGATATTAGCTGAAGTGCATATGTCTTCCATGTCATTGAAGACAGAAGCTGGGTCTCATCCAGCACATGTTTCCAGCACAAAGCACAATATTTGGCACAGGGTAAGCCCCTGGATTTTGAATTATATTGAAAATACTTTGTATTTCTGATATGAGATTTTAATATAATTAGTAAATTGAATTTTCCATGCATTATGTTACATGATTCTGTTTTTAAAATTAACCTCTGATACTTAAACACTTACTCTTCACAAAGAAAAAAAGAAATCCAAATAAATTCATGTTTTTTGACTTCCCTTTGTTTCTATGAGAATATGTCTATTGCAATTTGCTGTGTTGCCTATTACCTATTGAAAGTGGTGTTTGATTTTATACTTTAGCTTCCGAGTTCTGGTGATCTTTGGAGCATTCATGTGGACTTTGACACTAAACGGATGGATCCCTGGGAACGAATTATACCTACTTTCAAGTACAGCCGAGATATTCCGTTTTTTGAAATGCTTGTCCCCACAACAGACACAGTGCGCTTTGGGTATCTAATGGAAAAACTACTTGCAGTCAAACATTCAGTTTTGTTTACTGGAATAACTGGAGTTGGCAAGGTAGGAAACCTAACATCAAAAAAAGTTCTGTTCTAAACATTAAGGCATGGTGAACTTAAGAATTATTCTCACCAGAAATAGCACACATTTCTCAGGGGAAATTTTTTAAAATTTTGTTATGTTTTCAGGAAGTCTATGGCTGTACTAAATCTATACTGACCCTAGGAATTATTTCAGAGTTTGCCAGTTTCTGAATAAATCCTTGGGCTGATATTATGTAAACCATAGTAGATTTTCAGGCCAGAGTTTGTGTTTAGGGTCTTTATTATTCTATCTGTTGGTATTCGTGGGACTGCTACTGCACTGATTGGGTAAGAATTGTCCAAAATAGTTTTTGTCCTCAAAGCACTATTGATGAAATTCAGTTGGTTCCCTCTTGTCTGTTTACTTCTACCTGATATGACAATAACATTATTTTCATGTTTTTTTTTAAGTAAGGTAATAGGAGGATTCTGATTGCTTGATCTTTATTTTGGAAGATTCCACATATGCGGTGGTTCATTATTTCCCATCTAAATTATTTCCAAAAGAAGTTTAAATCTTCCTGTAACTCTCATTGTCAAATTGTCTTGTATAATAACCAAGATGGCTTTGGGTAGGCAGCTAAAATAAGATTATTTTTCTGAGATAGAGCTGATTAGAATATTTTTTTTGGTTTGGATTAGTATAACTAAATAATAGAGAACATTTCAATCTGGACTTAACTTCTCTCTTATATTATTTCTTACTCAGTGCACAGGATACTAATATAGGTTATTGAAAAATATGTTATGTTGAATGTGAGCTTAACAAACTGATTTTTTAAATCTAAAGACCGTTATTGCCAAAGGATTGCTAACTAGAATTCAGGAATCTGCTGGCTATGTCCCTGTTTATCTAAATTTTTCTGCCCAAACTTCATCTGCAAGGACACAAGAGATCATTGAATCAAAACTGGAAAAAAAAAGAAAAAATATTCTAGGTAAGAACTGTCATTTTAATTTGTTCTATATAAACTACTCACTAAGCCAATAAATTATATAAACACCACAAATAGTAAAGGAAAATTGGATATTTTCTTACATTATTTGTAAAGATGTGCCTTGGTTTGATTTTTGTTGCAACACTAAAATACCTGAGATTGGTTACTTTACAAAGAAGAGAGAGGTTTATTTAGCCCACAGTTATAGATGTCCAAGAGCATGAGGCCCTCATCAGCTTCTGGTGAGGGCCTCAAGGTGGACAGCATCACTTGGCAGAAACACATATGTGAGAGAGAGGTCACATGATGAGAGAGAAAGAAAGTGAACAAGAACTTACAACCCACTCTCATGGTGATCAATGAAGTACCTTGAGAGTAAGAACTCACTCCCACAAGAAAACATAAATCCCTCATAAAGGTCTCAGTACTTCTAAACACTATTGGAGTCCAAGCCTCAACGTGAGTTTTGGTGGAGACAAAGCATATTTAAACCAAAGCAAGGTGATTCTATTAGTGATATTTTTCCTGTACCCGATATCTAGATATCTTTCTGTTATAAGCAAGCCATTTATTTCTACCATCCCCTTAAAACCAGAACATCTTCAGTCTTTGCTTCTTCATGGCTCTCACTCGATCCACCTAGGCTTGAATTGATTTCACTTTCTTTAAAATCAACAACTCTGATTTTACCTAGCACACTGAGTTTCTGAACTCAGTGGGGAATAAACATGAAACTATTTGGGTTTTTGCATCAGTCAGCATTTTAAGTCAGGGATCTCCTTTACCCACCCTTATTAATTATTTAAGATAAATAGCTCTGGTCACCTTCAGATGTTTTGAGTCTGGGCCAATGTAAAACTTCAATCCCCAAACCTAATTTGAAGTTCCCCTTATCTTCTGTCATAAGCCAGCTTTGTGGTTCCAGGTACTGGAGATAGAGGGGGAAATGGGATATTCTTTACCTCCATCCCACGCCCATTCCACATAGGAAAAACTGATATGTTGGGATGGGAAAAGAAGAAAGCACAAGTGTCTTCCCCCTGACCGATAGTTAAATAGGCATGTGGGCATGTAGATGATCCCTGCTTCTCTGGCTGGTGCTGAATGACTGCCCAACCTGTCTGAGAGGCACTTTCAGGATTAGGCTCTTGTGAGGGACTCCTATAAGGTCTGTCCTCATTTTAGGCATTAAGCCTCCCCTTTGGAAGATTCCCTGAGGTTGGGAATCAGGGTCTCAACCTTCATTCAGTTTCATCCTCCAGCCTCTTGCTGCTAGAGTTCACCTGCCCAACCTACAGCCCTTCTGGGTGGGTTACCAGTCAGAACTCAGGTCCAGCTGCTTTGTACAGTATACAGCAACTAATAGGCTCTGTTATGCCAAACACTGGAGTTGCTTACTGCCTCACAGCTTTCTTTTACCTGCTCAGTTAGACACAGGACATTGGTCTATTTTCTGATGAGGGATCCAGATTTTTAAAAATGATTCCCTTACATCCTTTCCAAATCCTGGTTCATGCTTCTCAGCTTTCAGGAACCAGAGGATAGAGTAAAATTCTGAGTTATTCTCAGTTACCTTGGAATTACCATCCAACATTAATACCAACCAAAGAGAAATGGCTATTTGTCCTTTAGTCTTAAGCACTGGGTACCGAATAGGTGAAGTCACCTCCTATTCTTCAGTTGCTACTTTTACTCTGCTATCACTAATTATTTTTTCTGATGAGTATATGTATTGGTTTTCTTTAAATGTGGCATTGTGTATATCCACAATCCTGGATTTCGCTTTGATTTCCCTTTGATGCAATGGGAATGCTTTTGAATTTTGAACTGTTTTCCATGTGAGGGCGATGAGATGGCATTTTTGAAAGAGAACCTTTAGCTTTCCACACCCATGCCCTGGCCCCATAATTAGTGAGGGCACTGATGTGCTGAGACTTGAGAATGGTCCAGACCTCACTAGAGAGCTACCAGTATTATGGGCTCTGAGAGTAAGGGTGAGGAACAACCTGACATAACAATGTGGGCCTCGGAGCCAGATCTACATCTAGCTGAAGGGCCTGTATGGGGACAGAAGGAGATATGTCTCCTTGGAGTGGGACTCTGCTAGGTCTCTCCTCACTCTTGAGAAAAGAATTAAACTCAGTATGACTCGCAAGTCAGTATGACTCTCATTGAGTGCAAAGCCATACCTATGCTTTCTTTCTTTTTTTTTTTAGTCCATTATCATAACAGAATATCTGAGACTGACAAATTTATAAAGAGAAAGGTTTTTTAGCTCCAAGTCTTGGAAGTTCAGGAGCGTGGTGCTGGCAGCTGCTCAGCTTCTGGTGAGGGCCTCATACAGGTCAATTCTTGGCAGAAAGCAAAAGAGCAATCAAGCACATGCAAAAGATAGAAAAGAGGGCCAACCTCCTATAATATAAACCCATTTATATAATAAAAACATTAATCCATTCCTGAGGGAAGATCCTTCATGACCTCAGATGCCTCTTAAAGGCTTCATCACCTCTTAACATCATGTTATCAGTATATTAGGAACAAAGCCACAACATGAGTTTGGGTGGGAACAAACCACAGTAGTTTTGTTCTGTACTTTCTAAGAAAAAAAAATTTAATTACTAAATTGAATTTGTTTTCCCAGGGGCACCAGGAAATAAGCAAGTTATAATTTTTGTTGACGACTTAAATATGCCTAGACTGGATCGCTATGGCTCTCAGCCTCCCATTGAATTACTTCGCCAGTATCAAGATTTTGGTGGATTTTATGACAGAAACAAACTCTTTTGGAAAGATATACAGGTTACTTTAGGTTTTAAATCGTTACTTAATGTGTTCAAATTTAAATGGCAAGGAAATATGTGGTACATTAATTTTATGTAATTGCCATAACAGACCATAGACTGGGTAGTATAAACAACCTATTTTCTCATAATTCTGAAGACTGGAAGTCCAAAGTCAAGGTATCAGCAGGATCAATTTCTTCTGAAACCTCCATCCTTAACTAGTAGATGGCCAACTTCCCCCTGTGTCTTTCCATGGGTATATTAATTTGCTTTCTGTTGCTTATAACAATACCACAGATTGGGTAAGTTCTAAAGAAAAGAGGTTTATTTTGGCTCATGGCTCTGATTCAGAAGTAAGGGGCCATATCTAGTGATGGCCTTCTTAATGGCAGAGTTCTGGGACAATGCAGGGCATTGCTTTAGCATGACACAGGGAATACATGTGTGTGTGTGTCATCTCTCTTCCCCCTCTTCTTATAAAGCCACAAATATTCAATCATGTGGGCTCCACCCTTTGACATTATCTGCTTTTAATCACCTCCCAAAAGGCCCACATCTAAACATCATAGTTAGATTGAATTTCTGCCCTCTTAATTCCTTATAGTGGGGGAATACTTCCAACATGAGTTTTGGTAGAAAAAGACAATATTCAAACCATTTCATTTCTTGTCTGGCCCCTGAAACTCAAGTCCTTCTTATATACACCATACTAATAATTCATTCCACCCAAAAAATCCCAGAACCTTAATTCATTCCAGCATTAATCTCAAGCCCAAATTCTCATCTGAGATTCAATGCAAACTGCTTCCAGCTGTGAGTCTGTAAAACCAAAGCTGTCTACAAAGGTGGGATAGGCACACAGTATACATTTCCATTCTGAAAGGAAGGAGTAATCAGCCCAAAGCAAGTCTGAAACCTAGCCAGGGCTGGCATTAAATCTTACTGCTTCAATTCTGGCATCCTGTGTATACCATGGGGCTGCAAAGCCTCAGGAAGCCCCAGCTACACAATTTGCTGGTTTTGTCCCACATAGTTGCTTTCTTGGGCTGCAAGTTGATGACCACAGCTTACCTAAGCTGGTATTGCACACTGCTCGTAGCTAGTCACTTCCTGGTGTCTCAACTGAGGCTCTACTCCCATGGCTTCATTAAGCATTGCTCCACTGGCAACTCTCTGTGGTGGCTCCCCTCACAGCACACTTCTGCCTGGCTTCCCTGATTTTCTTTGACATCTTGGTGGAAGCTGCCATGACCCCATCACTCTTTCATTCTGTGCACAAGCACTGTGTGAATGCTGCCAAGGTCTGCCATGTGCTAAGCAGTGTCTAGGCCTACTTGAATCATAGCCACAGTCTCTGTGGGGTGCTTTTCTGGAAAACAAGGAACATAATCCTGTAGAGTCCCTGAGTAGCCCATGAATAGTACCCCGGGCTCCTACTTCAACCAAGTCTAGAAAGCTTCTAGGCCTGTGATGGGAGAGGCAGCCCTGTAGACTTCTGAGATGTTTTCTAGGCCTTTTTCTCATCTCTTTTTTTTTATTGGTTGTTCAAAACATTACAAAGCTCATGATATATCATCTTTCATACATTTGACTTAATTGGGTTATGAACTCCCATTTTTACCCCAAATACAAATTGCAGAATCACATCGGTTACATACTCACATTTTTACATAATGGCATATTAGTGACTGTTACATTCTGCTACCTTTCCTTTCCCCTACTATCCCCCCTCCCCTCCCCTCCCATCATCCCTCTCTACCTCATCTGCTGTTGTTCAATTCTCTCCCTTGTTCCCCCCCCTTTCCCCTCACATCCTCTTCTATGTAATTTTGTGTAACATTGAGGGTCTCCTACCATTTCCATATGCTTTCCCTTCTCTCTCCCTTTCTCTCCCCCCACTCGTCTTTGTTTAATGTTAATCTTTTCCTCATGCTCTTCCTCCCTGTTCTGTTCTTAGTTGCTCTCTTTATATCAAAGAAGATATTTGGCATTTGTTTTTTAAGGATTGGCTAGCTTCGCTTAGCATAATCTGCTCTAATGCCATCCATTTCCCTGCAAATTCTATGATTTTGTCATTTTTTATTGCTGCGTAGTACTCCATTGTGTATAGATGCCACATTTTTTTATCCATTCATCTATTGAAGGGCATCTAGGTTGGTTCCATGGTCTAGCTATTGTGAATTGTGCCGCTATGATCATTGATGTGGCAGTATCCCTATAGTACGCCCTTTTAAGATCATCAGGGAATAGTCCGAGGAGGGCGATAGCTGGGTCAAATGGTGGATCCATTCCCAGCTTTCCCAGGTATCTCCATACTGCTTTCCAAATTGGCCTTACCAATTTGCAGTCCCACCAGCAGTGTACAAGTGTACCCTTTTCCCCACATCCTCGCCAACACTTATTGTTGTTTGACTTCATAATGGCTGCCAATCTTACTGGAGTGAGATGGTATCTTAGGGGGGTTTTGATTTGCATTTCTCTGACTGCTAGAGATGGTGAGCATTTTTTCATGTACTTGTTGATTGATTGTATGTCCTCCTCTGTGAAGTGTCTGTTCAGGTCCTTGGCCCATTTGTTGATTGGGTTATTCGTTTTCTTATTATTTAATTTTTTGAGTTCTTTGTATACTCTGGATATTAGGGCTCTATCTGAAGTGTGAGGAGTAAAGATTTGCTCCCAGGATGTAGGCTCCCTATTTACCTCTCTTATTGTTTCTTTTGCTGAGAAAAAACTTTTTAGTTTGAGTAAGTCCCATTTGTTGATTCTAGTTATTAACTCTTGTGCTATGGGTGTCCTATTGAGGAATTTGGAGCCCGACCCCACAGTATGTAGATCATAGCCAACTTTTTCTTCTATCAGATGCCGTGTCTCTGATTTGATATCTAGCTCCTTGATCCATTTTGAGTTAACTTTTGTGCATGGCGAGAGAAAGGGATTCAGTTTCATTTTGTTGCAAATGGATTTCCAATTTTCCCAGCACCATTTGTTGAAGATGCTATCCTTCCTCCATTGCATGCTTTTAGCTCCTTTATCAAATATAAGAAAGTTGTAATTTTGTGGATTGGTTTCTGTGTCCTCTATTCTGTACCATTGGTCCACCTGCCTGTTTTGGTACCAGTACCACGCTGTTTTTGTTACTATTGCTTTGTAGTACAGTTTGAACTCTGGTATCGCTATACCTCCAGATTCACACTTCCTGCTTAGAATTGCTTTTGCTATTCTGGGTCTTTTGTTTTTCCATATGAATTTCATGATTGCTTTATCTATTTGTACAAGAAATGCCATTGGGATTTTAATTGGCATCGCATTGAACCTGTAAAGAACTTTGGGTAATATCCCCATTTTGATGATGTTAGTTCTGCCTATCCATGAACAGGGTACATTTTTCCATCTTCTAAGATCTTCTTCTATCTCTCTCTTTAGGATTCTGTAGTTTTCATTGTATAAATCTTTCACCTCTTTTGTTAGGTTGATTCCCAAGTATTTTATTTTCTTTGAAGATATTGTGAATGGAGTGGTTTTCCTCATTTCCATTTCAGAAGTTTTGTTGCTGATATACAGGAATGCCTTTGATTTATGCATGTTGATTTTATATCCTGCCACTTTGCTGAATTCATTTATTAACTCTAGCAGTTTCTTTGTAGACCCTTTTGGGTCTGTTAAATATATTATCATGTCATCTGCAAATAGCGATAATTTAAGTTCTTCTTTTCCTATATTTATGCCTTTAATTTCTTTTGTCTGTCTAATTGCTCTGGCTAGTATTTCAAGAACTAAATTGAATAGAAGTGGTGATAGAGGGCATCCCTGTCTTGGTCCAGATTTTAGAGGGAATGCCTTCAGTTTTTCTCCATTTAGGATGATGCTAGCCTGAGGTTTAGCATATATAGCTTTTACAATGTTGAGGTAAGTTCCTGTTATCCCTAGTTTTCTAGTGTTTTGAACATAAAGGGATGCTGTACTTTGTCAAATGCTTTTTCTGCATCTATCGAGATGATCATATGGTTCTTGTCTTTAAGTCTATTGATGTGGTGAATAGTATTTATTGATTTCCGTATATTGAACCAGCCTTGCATCCCAGGGATGAATCCTACTTGATCATGGTGCACAATTTTTTTGATATGCTTTTGTATTCGATTCGCCAGGATTTTATTGAGAATTTTTGCATCCAAGTTCATTAGAGATATTGGTCTGTAGTTTTCTTTCTTTGAAGTGTCTTTGTCTGGTTTCGGGATCAGGGTGATGTTGGCCTCATAGGATGAATTTGGAAGAGCTCCTTCTTTTTCTATTTCTTGAAATAGCTTGAAAATTATTGGTATTAATTCTTCTTTGAAGGCTTTGTAAAACTCCACTGTATACCTATCCGGTCCAGGGCTTTTTTTGGTTGGTAGTCTTTTGATGGCTTCTTCAATTTCTTCCTTTGTTATTGGTCTGTTTAAATTGTGTGTGTCTTCCTGACTCAATCTGGGCAGATCGTATGACTTAAGAAATTTATCAAATCTTCACTATCTTCTATTTTATTAGAATATAGGTTTTCAAAATACTTTCTAATTATCTTCTGTATTTCTGTAGTGTCTGTTGTGATATTGCCTTTTTCATCCCGTATGTTAGTAATTTGAGTTCTCTCTCTTCTTCGTTAGCATGGCTAAGGGCCTGTCGATCTTATTTATTTTTTCAAAGAACCAACTTTTAGTTTTTTCAATTTTTTCAATGGTTTTTTTTGTTTCAATTTCGTTGATTTCTGCTGTAATTTTAATTATTTCTTGTCTTCTACTACATTTGCTGTTATTTTGCTCTTCCTTTTCTAGGTTTTTGAGGTGTAGTGTGAGTTCATTTATTTGTTGGTTTTTTCTTTTTTTGAGGAAAGAACTCCAAGAAATGAATTTCCCTCTTAAAACTGCTTTCATTGTGTCCCATAGATTCCGGTATGTTGTGTCTGTATTGTCATTTGTCTTTATGAATTTTTTATCTCCTCCTTTATTTCTTCTGTAACCCATGGATCATTCAGTAACATAT